CCAATTTCCAAGAGAATATTAAATTTCCAGCAATCATCCGATTTTCCATATTTCTGATCATCGGCGTCATTAAAATAGATTCTTGATATTGATATGAATTCACGAAGATCGATATATCGTTATTCCAATTATCTTTCGTTCAGATACGAACGATATTTCTCATATACGCGAAAAATTATTGCTATTATTATTCCCGATATTAAAATAAATGCGCAAAATTTGATTTATTATTAATTTCTTTTAGAGCATATATATTTTATCGAAATATCTTGAGCATCGATATAAATAATTTATATTACAATTCAAATAAGAAGAATTTATTATCTAGAAGATAAGAAATAAAAAATCTGATCTAATCAAATATTCATTAGGAATCTAGAAAGAAGAAGAGAGATCCGAATTTGAAATTCAGTAAATTATATGAGAATTATACGATTTAGTACTATCTTCGGAGAACGTCACTATATATCATAGAAACGAAATTCAATCTATACATTAATCTTCACAATTAAATACGATCCCAAATCCGAATCAAATATAATACGAGCCAAATATGAAATAGATACGATCCAGATACGATTCAAATACGAATCAAACACAAATCCAGACGCCAAAATCTTCGAGATATTTGTAGTGAGAGAGAAATTCGCGAGATTAAAATTTTCAATTTTTATTCATCGGAGAGAATCTCATAAAAAATATCTACGAAGAAAATTACTAAATCATAAAGTAAATAATAGTACGTATAGATTTATAGTATCGTAAAAAATGAGAAAATATGAATTATATATAATGATATGAATTTATCTAAATAAAAAATCGAGAAGAATATCTAATCAATCAAATAAATATGAATCTTTCTATCTATCATAGAAATTTATTTTTGATTATATTTAAATATTTATTTATATATCTTATATATCGAATTTCAAATATATATATTATTGAAATTTCAATAGAATCAAATTTATAGATTCAATTCTTATAATCATCCAATTTTTCCATTCTACAGATCTATATATATATATATATACATATATAAATATATGTATATGTATATAAATTAATTAATCAATTTCAAATATTTTCAAAAAGAATATCATATTCTTATATAAAAGAATCTAAAAGTCTCGTTTTTTCATATTATAAATTTCTTCAATTCCCAATATTATAGTATTAGAATAAAATAGAAATATAATAATTTATATTTGATGATTCGAAACTATATAATATAAAAATAAATTATTAATTATATCGAATGATATTGTATTTCGAACCCTGCCCCCCCCCCCCCCCCCCCCCCCCCCCCCCCCCCCCCCCCCCCCCCCCCCCCCCGCTCCCCCCTGCCCCCCTCCACGCAAAGTTCGGAAATAGCGTTGCTTTGGGCAGCACAGCACGCGGCTCCACGACCTAACCTTCTCATAGCATCGGAGATTCAAGCATCGCTATCGCCAGCTAGGGGCTATGTCGAATATCAGGCACAGAACGCGGAGATGCTACAATGGTTACATCAACCTCTTGCTGGCTTCTTGAGACAAGCCCTCTGCCTTACGCTGCTCTGCCCTGCTTTGCCCTGCCCTGCAATTAATACAAGTGCGATTCCAACTGTTGTTATTTTCGTACAAGAGCTTCCTGCTGCGCCGGATGGTAGCCAGTCGCCGCATGCGCGAAAAGCCGGGCCGAGGCGGACGACGCGAAGCGTTTCAATTAGATTCTCAGATTCTGTAAGATGGACGGAAAATGAAGCCTTCAATATCCAACGAGAATTTCGATAACAGTGGTAATAGAATCTAGTTTCCTGCCTTGGCTCTCGGAAGCAAAACCTCCGGAGGGTGTAGAGTTCAGCGTTCCAGCTCGTAGGGTTTAGGACTTTCAGTTGTTCTCGGCCGGTGGTACACAGATCCACACCAAGGCCACCCATATCTTACCGACCGCAGGCCGAACCAAAGCCGGCCAAGGTTATGAAAACAACGAGAAAATACAAATTAGAGTATATATTTATACATAACCGTATGAATTTATTTTAATACAAATCGAGAACAAGCACCCAAGATATCTGCAGGTTCCTCAGCAATGTTGCACCTGTCAGCTAATTCCAGATGAGTAAATGTTTTTGTCCTTGCGTCCACTGCGGATAAAAGGTCAAATTTTGCAAGAAACCAACACATGATCCTTTCGTGAGGTGCCCGCCCAGCGTACACGCGACGTCTTTATGCTTTATATTGGGAACATCCCAGCAACCCTGCACTATGACATCTCCCGTGAGGTCACCCGTCTCTGATAAAAATAGGGCCCTGAATATCCAGAAGAAGGGCAATATGAGCATACATGAATATCTCAGGACCATAAGGAAAGATTCTTAACAATAACTAATCGGACCGCTCACCTACAGCGCACCCCGCCTCCAGCCGGTTTCACTTCAGCTGGTCCCTGTTGGAGCTGGAGGAGCTCTGTGCGTAATCTCGCAATCTCCCTCTCCTCGCAGAAACTCTCAGGGTTGGGCGTTTAGGGGTTTAGGGGGTTAGGGTTTAGGGTTCGAGGTTGAAAGTTTAGGGGCTTGCCAGCACCCCGAGTTACCTGCCTTTTTTTTGGAGGAAAGTACCAAAAAAAGGACATCATACTTTTTTTTTTTTGAGCCCCTTTTTCCCCGACCTCTCAAGCGAACGAGTGGACATCATACTTTGAGGTCTAGGAAAGATGAAGGGAGTTCAAGGGTCTACAGTAAACCCCATAAAGTTGGAAATCCTTAGGGTTCCTTTAAAGGGTTAATATTAGGTTACTATAAGGTTTCCTTTAAAGGGCTCTATAAGGGTCTAGAGTTTCCGAGAATTACAGTAAACCCCATAAAGTTGGAAACCGGAATAAGGCCAAATCGTGCTGGGAGTCCCTATATATATATATATATATATATATATATATATTACTCTTAAGGATTGAGGCTACTGGGTTTCCCACTTTTAAGCTTCTACTGTAGACTCAAGAGTTTCGGGTGTTTCGGGGTTTAAAGCGTTTTCCGGTTTTAGGGTTTCGGTTCCAGGCTTATGGCTCTGTCTGGGGCTTTAAGATACAGGTGAATTTCGGGTTTGAGCGTGCAGGGGTTTAGAACTCAAGGTGTGCAAAATCTAGGCCAGTGTAGAGCTTCGAACACTCAGTTCAAAAAGTCATGCTGCTTAATGCTCAAGCGCCGTCAGACCCCAAGCCCTAAGCCGTGGATGTCAAACTCCGAAATCAAAAACTCTGCACCGTGGCGCTTCCAGAACTCAGCCGACTGCAAGCAAAGGTAGTGTGCTCTAAACCCTAAACCCTACACCCTATTTGTGCCGGCATGTCAGGATCCCTGCCTCCCGCCCTAAGCTTAGATATCAGCGCTTTCATCCCGCACCGCTCCTACCACTGACACCGACACCCAGGAATCCGATCCTCGCCCACAAACGCACAATGCAAACGGCGACCTTAGAATCCGACCACCCGCACCCGGCTACATCAGCTTGCGTCCTTGCTCTCCACCTTGGCCACAACATCCTGTAAAGTGCCAGGTTCAAGGCGTGGAGCTTGATTCAGGATCTGGGAGTTTCCGAAAATAGGGGACCCTAATATAGTACCCCAAACAGTAGAATCCTTATTGTAAGGACCCCAAAATAAGCTACTGCTGAAGTTGAGCCTGCCTAACTTTAAATCGACATACCTGGGCCGAGGGTTCCTTTTAAAGGGTCTTATAGGGTGGCTATAAGGGTACTATAAGGGTACTAGGAGATAGGGCCACTATAAACCCTAGATCCCTAATATAGGGGCCTTAACAATTAGAATAGGGTTCTGGGGCCCCTTGTACTATAATTATCATAAGGAACTCCCAAAATAGGATTGGTAATTATTTCGGCCCCTATATTACCTGGGCCGAGGGTGCGTGTTCGGCTGGCTTGGGCTGACCGGCCGGAGTGGTGCGGGTTATGGGGTGCTGGGGTTGGGGCTGCAATTGCTGAGCTGGGCTGGACTAAGCTGAGTTAGGTGACTGGTGTGTGCTGATCGTGAACTGATGTGACGGACCTGCTCGGGAAAAGATACAATTTCTCTTGATTTCCGTCTTGAGACGTTAATGATACGGTTTAGTGTTGCTCAAACCCCGCTCCAGTGCAATGCAACTCGGGATGGCTGAAGGATACGAAGTAGTGCCACGGCTAGAACAGAGTTCTGCCGAAAGTTTTAGATATACAACTATAGAGGCACTACCCCCTAAACCCTAAACCCTCAACCACTACTATAAGGGGGATGCTCGTAGCAATTAGTTTGACCTCTTTCCCCGGGCTTCAGGGATTCAGATCTCAGGCTTTCCGGGACTAGTGTTTCCAAAGACCCTTAATAAGGACCCCTAGGTATATACCCTTAATATAGCAATTATATACCCATTATATAGTCCATTATAGGGTAGGGGTCACCATTAAGGGTCCCCCCTTTTCCCCTTTGAATGTTTAGAGATTTGGGTTTAGGGTTTAGGGCTTCAGGGTCTGGAGCTTTGGGTTTCAGGGTGTGGGGTGAGACGTCCTCCTTGCCGGCGCTGCTGCCGTCCGGCTGGAATGGTACTAGGCCTTTGCTGCTCTTGGCTGTAAAACCTAAACCCTAAACCGCGCCTGAACACCTTCAAACTTGAGAGATGCCGGCGGTGACAGGCATTTCAGCATGTCGAACAGTAAACACAACAAGCTCGAGAACCCTAAAGCCCACACCGAGACGTTCGCTGGAAGGCCTGGCGCTGAGCTGAATACCCCCTGATGAAGGAAGGAACCCTGTCGGTCACAATAACTTAACGAACGGAACCAATTTGGCTTAAACCCTAGACCTAAACCCGTTAAACCTGAATCCTCAATATCTAAACCCTAAGCACTTTGTAGCAGTCGGGTTTTGGATTGCCCAGCCAACTGACTGGAGCCGAGATGCAGCGAGCAGCCTCGTTCTCCTCCAACTGCAAAGCCATTAAGGGTTTAGAGTTTAGGGTGTCGGGTTTCGGGTTTAGGGTTTCGGGTTCGTCAGTGCAGTTTTTGGACTGGCCAAGGCGCCCTGGTCATCTCGCCGGAAGCTAACTCTATTAGACTGTCTTATCAGGGGGGGTGTTGCTTAAGCCCAAAAGCGGCTTTGTGATCTTCCCGTTTTAACCTTTGTCCAGCCGACAACACAAGTTGCCTCACATCTTGTTGCCTTCCTGTAAAAGGAGCCTGGAGAATGTTGAGATTGTTGCGACAACTCGATTCGACAAAATTCCTTTTTGTTGCTTTGCAACAAAACCCGCTTTCAAAATGCAGGGAGTGTTGCGGACAAGTGACCGAATCGCATTTGGTCTCCTTCCAACAAAAGTGGCTTTCGAAATGCTGGGAGTGTTGCCACCATCCGGCTTCGTGTCCTTTTGTCGGCGCCGCCAACAGTCAACAGAATCCCTTACATTTTGCCGCCGCTCCCGCCCCCGCCCGCCGTGCAGGGACTGCCGTCCTTCTGTTAGCGGCTGTTAGCGGCTGTTAGCGGCAGCAGAACAAAATACATCACATTTGGCCACCTTCAAAAGCCCTCGCCCCCGCCCCCCTCTCACCCCAGCCCTCAATTCACTTAAACCCTAAACCCTCAACTCTAAAACTGTCTAAAGCCTAGACCCCAAAGCGTCTAAACACTTAAAACCCTAATCCCAGCTTTCAATTCACTTAAACCGCAAACCCCGACACCATCCAGAAACCCTAAACCCTGGACCCTAATCCCACCCCCCAGTTCATTAAGACCCGAACCCTAATCCCAGCCCTCCATTCACTCAAACCCTAAACCCTAACCCGTCTAAAGCCTAAAACTAAACCCGATACCGTCTGAAACCCTAATCCTAGCACTAATTTACTCAAACTGCTAATCTACATAAACTGTGTTTCTGGTGGTCGCTTGCTTTCCTTTGCATCCGTTTTTCCTTCTGCTTTTCAAACCACAAACCTGCGCTGGTGCACTTCTCGGCGTAGCCGTCTAAAACTTAGGGTTTTACGGGTTTAGGGTTCAGAGTTTCGGGTTTAGGGTGATAGTGTCTATCACTTGAAGGTTCATGGGTAGTTATGAAGTGGGGATAGAAGTAGGGTAAGTATAGTAATAACTACCCATATTCAGGGACTTATGACACTTGTAACTACCCATGAACCTCCCAGTAAGCAGAGCCTCAGAGGCCATGTTCCTATGTGGTAGTTTGCGGCCGACCTGTCCGATTCCTGCCTGCAAACCCCTGCCATGAAACAAGCCGGCCAAGCCACGAATTCCCTGTGGACTTGACTTTGCTAGCTTCTAACTCCGGCATGTAACCACCTACGAATAGGCTTAGAAATGTTAGAAGCACCTAAAGCTACGGCTGGCTTAAAGCCCAGCTGAGGCGTTCGAGGTTATGAAACTTCAGTGCGACAGGCTATCTGAACTGGGCTTTTTAAGTGACCAGAGAGAAAAAGTATAAACTTTGATTTCATATGGTTCCTTTAAGAAAAGTACTGAAGTAGTACTCTAAAGCCCAGTGAAGCTTAGGAACTTCAGGGCCTAGTTGCCTTAATGCAGCTAGGGCCCCCAAAACAAACACATAAGCAAAACTAAGGATAGGAATGTCCCATATAGACCCCCCTAGAATGAAGCCCAATAAGGTAGGGATATCCCTACAAAATGCTTATCCTTATGTGCTTTTGGGGTTATAATCAACAACCCGTCCTCGATGCGGTAGAAGCGGTCGTGGAAGCCAGCAAGCTCTTGCCAATTGTGGCAGGTGCTGACGATGCCAGCGCCGCTGCCTGCAACCCCTGTCTCCACACTATGCAGTTGCGCGAAGGGCTACAACACTTGCACAGTCTAAGCCCCAAACCAAACCCCAGCCCGCTCAAACCCTCTATGCACCGTCTACAACCCTAGACTCAACTCTTTCAACCACTCTAAACCCCAAACTCTTTTGCTGCCCGACCTTTCACGAGGTCGTCCACGAGCAGCTTGTACAGATCAGTGCGGCAAACCGTAGACATGTGGGCCATAGACTCCTAGGCCGCGGGTGTGTGGTTTCAGGCTGGCTTCGATTGAAATTGATGTAGCCCTAAGCCGAAACCCTGAAGACCCTGAGCCCTAAACCTCGAAGCTAAAAGGTTTGAGGTCGGGGCTTCCGGTTTGTAGGGATTTGGGAGTTTCCGAAAATAGGGGACCCTAACATAGTAATTACCTGAATAGTAGGAGCCCTATTATAGGGACCCCCAAGAAAGGTTCCCCTAATTTTCGGAAACTCCCATTTAGAAGGAAAGTTCAGGGCTGGGGCTTTAGATTCAAGGTTCAAGCCGTTACGACAAACAAAACTCAAACAAGCCTGCCTAAATCCTAAACTCCTAAACCAAGACCTAGGCTCGTCCAGCAGAACCCAGGATGGCCTGGCAGCATTTAAGGACGGATCCGGCTTATGATTTTGGGGCTTGAGGAGTACAGTCGGGTTTGGGGGCTTAGGTTTAGGGTTCAGGGTCTATAGACTGTAGGGGTCAAATGTCCTGGCGCCGAATCCTCTTCAAAGAAAGCCGAAACAAAGACCACTTGGAGTAGAACAACCTCCACAAGAACTTGGCATTTCCGGGGTATCTACACTCCGGAGCGACTCAAATATTTCTATCTACTACTGGACTCTACTTTCTTACTTACAGCCTCGATTAGTTGCTGCCCATCTCTAGTAGATCTCAGCCAACCATTCGCACCTTTTTCCTGAACCCCAAACCCTACGCCCCTGAACCCTAAAACCCTAAAGCCCTAAACCCTATACACCCCTGAACCCTAAAACCCTAAAGCCCTAAACCCTATACACCCCTGAACCCTAAAACCCTAAAGCCCTAAACCCTATACACCCCTGAACCCTAAAACCCTAAACCCCAAAAGCCGGGGCCACAGGGTTTAGGTCACAGCTAAAACCTGCAGCAGTGCTTGGGTCTTTGAAGCTTCCCAGCCTCGATTTGCATAGGGTAGAGTTTGGGGTGTTGGGAGGGTCGTGGGTTTATGTATGTTTAAGATTTAGGGGGACTCTCAAACCTCTTCATTCACGAGTTTCCTCAGTTTTTTCAGAAAGCATTATCATGGGAGACTTGGCGTCCGGCATATCTAAGCCCTAAACCCCGGACGGCCTCGCAAGAAGGCAATGCGCCACGAGCAGTCGTTGGAACTCACCACCGGAGAGGGTGCTGTTGACGTCCAGCTGGGTGTCCTCGCAGGCGCTTTGGAATTCAGGGTTGTGGGAGGTCCGACGCATGCCAATACAGCGCCATGAGTACTTAAATTGGTCTGTTGTGGCATGGCATCTTCCAGTGTAACTCTCTACATATACATATGCATATTATGTGTGTGTGTATATATATATATATACATACATGTATAGTTATAGGTGTGGTACTGCTAGTTCCTTGGACCTATCTCCTAAGTCCGTGAACCCTACAAGCCCTCCGCCTTGAAGTCTCAACCCTAAACTTTAAAAGCCCCCAAACCCCAAGCTCCTAAACCTTTAACCCCTAGAAACCCTAAACCCAAAACCCCTAAGCCCTAAACCCTCCCAAGCCCTAAACCCAAAGCCCTCAGCCTTGAAGCCTTCTGGGGTTAGGGTTTAGGGTTCGCGGGTTAGGGTTTCGGGTTTCGGGTCTTTGAGGTTAAGGGTTCCGTTTAAGCGTCGTTTCCTTTAAGGTTTTAATGGGATCTGAATGTTGCATAGGTTTAGGGTTTATGGTTTAGTTAGGGGCCTGAACCAACGAGTGCCTGGATCCCCAAGTTTCACAGACATTGCTTATTCGGACTTAAATGCCCATGGGACAATAAGATTGAGCTGTGTAAGACTACCCTGTAAGAGCCCCAAAAGTTGAGAAGTTGGCTTTTGAACCACTTAAAATGCTAATAGTTACCACTAATAATTGATAAGAATGACTCTAATAACACTACTTATACTAATAATACTAATGACTAAGCATTTCTTGGGATGGAGGATGCCGAGGTCTGGTTTCGAGTTTCGAGACCAGGATTTCAGGCGTAGGATTCGGCACTGACAAATTTACGACTCCGTCTTGGAGGGCCGATGTTCGTAGCTTGTGTCCTGTTCCTGGAGTCTGCAAGACTGATTGGGTTGTGGCATTCCTACCGAAAAGGATGCAGCAAAGCTGCATTTGCGAGGGTCAACAATGGAGCACCAACATCTAAACCCTAAGCCCTAACCAACATCACATGGGCCCGACCTTGAGACCACACAACCCAGAGTTGCACACATTCGCGTCCCACATGTCGTTTCGGGATCAAAGCACAACCCTACCTGTCGGGTATCATGGGGAACTAAAGGTTGGTTATAGAGGGATTATATAGTGACTCTACTACCCATAAAAGGCTAAAGGTTGCCTACTCTACTACTAGGCAACAGTTACAATTAGGTTAAAGTAGACCCTGGGGGTTGAGGGTGTAGGGAGAACCCTAAACCCTCAATCCTGTATCGCGTCTACCCGCAGGCTCCACAGTAGTTCCTTTCTGGGATTACCTTATAGGATTATAAATAGGAACCCCAGAAAGGAACTACTATGGAGCCTATGGGCAGAGTTTAGGGGAGCCACCAGACTCTTCTGCGCCAGCTCAGCCAAGCCCACGCGATCCAGGGCGGCTCGAACCTCTGCCTGCGAGTTTCGTTGATAAGGATTTGGGATTTTCCGAAAATTAGGGGTACCTTATTTGGGGGTCTTATATCCTAATATTTCGGGTAGCATATTAGGGTCCCCGATTTTCGGAAATTCCCGTTTAGTGTGAAGGGTTTCTTTAAGAGATTTAAGGTTTAGGGCGCCTTGAAAGGATGAGGTCCCTTTCTAGGATTCAGGGTTTAGCGCTCCTTGAAGGGAGTTCGGGTCCAGGGTTCCTTGAAAAGGGTTGAAACTTAAGGGTGCCTGTTGATGCCTTCGGGGATGGGCATCTGAGAGCCGTGGGCGAGGGACTATCGTTTTGGAGATCCCATTCGCCTTGCCCCGAAATCGAAACCCTGAACCCTCGAGAGTCTATAGGCACTTAGAAAATCTTCCCAAAGTCAACCTTCCAAACCCCTGCAACAAGAATCTTAAGGAAACGCGACAAGTTAAGGTCCTATGGCTCCCAGGGTGCTAGCTCAGTCCCAAACAGACTATGGCCTGGCCTCGGTGTAGGTGTCGGGTGCATCCGGGAAAGCCACAGCTTCGTGTAGGGACATGGGCATGGGCCTCAGTCCGTTTAAGGTTTCAGGTTTAGGGCTTGGTTCTGGGTTTGGGGCCTAGGAATTAAGGTGTAGGGCTTGGTTCTGGACGTGGACCGCAGCTCTCGAGGTGGGCTTGGGGTCATCCGGAATCAACTCGATCACCAACATCACCGGCAGCATCTCGAAATCGCATGCCATCAGCGCCACCAGGAGGATCTTGCTCCTCATCATCGTCGTAATCATCATCAGCGGTAGCATCTCATCGCCAGCCGAAAATTCGGAGCCCCACCCGCGATCTTGCGCATGTATTCTCTCATGGCGACAGCCACCGGCGTCTGCGACGACGGTCGTGAATGCAGGTGGCATGATCAACACAATGAAACCGGAAGGGCAACCACGGATTGAAAGCATCACAGCATCGATCGATAAATGTCTGGCAGCGAGCAACAGGCGTGCTTTCGTGATGCTCATGGGCAAACTAGATCCGAGACCTTCGGTGAAGTACTATCCGCACCATGCACTGCACCTGCAACCAGGTCACAGACGCGGCTTCTGCGGGATCAGAACCACATCCTTCCTGCTCGCCACGGCAGTGCCCTCCCGATTCTCCATGTAAGGCCTTCGCTGCAAGCCAAAGGGTTCTAAGTATGATTATGGGGGATACTGTCCCAATTCATAATACTAATTGATAATTCCTACTATAGAACCCCCCCAACCTCATACTTAGGACCCTTAGGGTTCAGACAGCCCAAGTTCCCAAGCTCAGAAGCATCTGGAACTTGCAGGGTTCATGGTTGGCCCTGTAGGGGTACACAGGGTGTTTAGGGCTGTCTATATACGCTAAGATGCACTGAAACTCCAAGCCTTAGAATTCTAAATGAGTCCTAAGGTAAAACAAACAGAGCCTGAAAAGAACTTGGAGCCAGCGGCTATGCTTAGAAGCGATGACCGTGGGTTTCGAGGGGTTCCGATACCTGGTTTGGGAGTTGAGGGGTTTGATGGGATTCTTGAGTTTGGGATTTGTTGACCCTTCTGCGTTTGGTGGTAGGGTTTTGGGATGCTTTGGCTGCTCGATCTTGCGTCCCAGTGGCCACATGCCGGCCAATGCTTTCAGCAGTGTAGACTTACCGGCACCCTCCTCCCCACAAAGCAGCACCATGTCGCCTTGCAGGTGGGCTTAGGGTTTTAAGGTTTAGGGTTTAGGGCTTTAGGGTTTTAGGGTTTAGGATGGCTTAGGACTAGGAGTTTAAGGTTTACGGTTTTTCGGGTTCAGTGTTTAGGGACTAGGGTTGCCTACCTTGCAGGTGGGTCGGTCAAGGGTTCACGGTTTACAGTATCGGTCCAGTGCATCCATTGCCTACCAACATGTTGGCTTTAGGGCTTAGGTCATATGTGCTTTCATGGCTTCGCCGTGAACCCTAAACTTCATTCTAGTCGGGATTGGCCCTCCTAAAATGCCCCATACTCCACACCCGTAAAGCCAAAACACTAACCCCCCAACCTGAACCCTAAATTGCGTCGCACAGTCTCAAGCCTCAAAGCTCCAAACCCTCCAAACCCACGCCCGAAACCCTAAACCCCCCCCAAAAAAGGCGCCAACCCCCAAAATCTTACTTCTCCGATCTCTTAAAAAACCTGCAACGCCTTTCTGCTCGGTGTACTTCCTGGAACCCGTACATGAATCCTAAACCCTAAACCCTGACCCCCGGAAAGGAACGCTCAAAAGCTGAACTTTGAGCTCCTTAACCCTATAAACCCGAAACCCCCTAAAGAAGGAAAGGAATCCTCGGAAGTACTCCATAAAGGGTTCCCTTAAGGGTTCCCTCAAAGATTCCCTTCGAGGTTCCTTTAAGGGGCCCCGTATAGGAACCCTCGCAAACGCTCTGCGCCTGGAGCTACCTCCAGATCGACCTTCCCAAAGAGAGGCTTTCCTTAGTTGCCGAGTTCACAACCCCTCAAGAACTGCAAACTTTTCGTTCTAGGAGATAACATTATCAAGGAAATATAAACTTTGAGTTCTACGGGGGACCATACTATCCAAAAAAATGTAAAGTGCACTCATTCGGATCGTGAATTTCCGAAAATACGGGGTACCTCATTTCGAAGTCCTTGCAGTAGGGATCCTACTACTATATTGGGTACTATATTACGGTCCCCTATTTTCGGAAACTCCCATTCAGCTACGAAGTTTCCAGAAGGCAACTGGAGCCCGTCGACTCGCAGTTCCAGCGGCGCCGGCACCTCTGACTCTGGCTCCGAAATCACCTGGGGGCTTTTAGGGTTTAGGGTTTAGGGTTCAGGGTTTAGGATTAGGTTTTGCGGGTGTTTGCATGTATTTGCTGTATTCCATGCTATGTTGTGTTAGTGGTTCAGCCGAAAACGTGAACAGAAGCATGGTTCCCGCAACGTCCTACTCCCAAGGGGTCAAGGTTTCGGGCTTCCGGGGGTCGGGTTTGGGTGCTTAAGGGCCAAGAAAGTTTTGGGTGTATTTGGTTCGCTTAGGGTTGAACGATGTAAGGGGCAAAAGGTTTGTGGCGTTTGTGAGTTACCCCTAAAGGGTTCAAAGTATCTATAATGGCAAGTCTTGTTATTGTTTGGGCGAATATCCCATATAGGTACTTAGGACCCCTTTTTGTCGATTCGAAACTCCCGTTCTTCACAGCCCAAGCACTATCACGGTTCAGGGTTACCAGCTGAGGGGCTTATCCGGCTTATCAAACCAAAAACATGCAAAATCTCCCTTTACACGCCTCCTTTTCGCCCCCTAAAACCTTAAACCCGATGAAGCCGATGAACAAAAACCCTGAAGCTGTGTGTAATATAGGGGCCTTACGATTTAAAATGGGGCTTGGGGCCCATTATACTATAATGAAAATAAGGAGCCCGCACAAAAACACCAAGGCACCAAACTTTCCTTCGGCTTGTGGCTGTCTGAGATCCAGCCCTGCGGGAGGCCGCGCTCCGCCAGGCGCGCCATGACCTGGGCCTCCGCCGTGTCCTTGGATTCCTCCGAAAGAGCTCCACGGTGCAAATATGTGACAGCTACACGACAGGTACCCACATCTATTTGTGTGTGTGTGTGTGTCTGGATAGAAATACATATTTACATATATATATATAGAAAAAAAGAGAGAGAGAGAGAGAGAGAGAGAGAAAGATAGTGCAACGTACTACAGGCCACGTGTTGTTTTACATGTTTAAAGCAATCCCGGCCGTAAGTGAACACAACACAACCTTCTCTGGACACACCAAACCCTGCAAAACTGACGTCCACACGCAACGTGATCTGAGGATCGCACCTAGGCTACTAAGCGGAAAGGTTACCATTCGTTTCTTTGTCTTAAAATTTACATACGACACATGTCTTCTGCAAACAGTTCAATGAGCAAGCAGGCTCAAACAGACGTGACTCTTTTCATGGTAAAACTTCGTCGCATCACTGCTTGCACGTGCAAAGAGCATAACTTCTCTGCCAGTTATTACGAATTAGAACTTGAGTGATACGATCCTGTAAGCGTTCTTGCTGGTTAGATACTGCACTGCGAGCAGGATAATGCAGAATGCTTAAGCATGGTATTGCAACTTTCCTATTGCTTGCCTAGAGATCGGTCGTTTCTTTCCCTTTCTGTCTTGCTCTCACTTTCTCTTCAGGTTGTTCTTATTGACCTTGTTGGATGGCTTCTTGTAGACTGGCTTGATGAGGGTGACAGAAGAAGCGGGCCGACGGCAACTGTACTTTTTGCTGGCGGGCTTGCGGAGGATGCGGGCCGCCTTAGCGATCTTGGAACGAGCACTGAATGCATTGAGATGCTGACGTCTGTTTTGACGGACGAGGTTGTTGTGCATCTTCACGCAGAGGAGCACGAAGAAGATGCTATGAGCCTTCGTGTTGAAGCTGGATGCGTATCCGCGAAACCATGAAAATGTTAACTCTGCCTCCCGCACACGTGGGACGGCCAAGACAGGAAGGCGCGAAGAAGCCACGACAAAATGGTTGGTTTATGGCTATGGGCCCCTGCAGTGGCATGGTCTTGTCTGTCGATGATATGGAGGAGCCTGAGAACAATGCAGTTGCCAAGAAGTCTTTGGGGAAGGTTATGGCAAAGGCCAGCAACCTTGACTGTGTGATATACCACAAGATGTGTGTCAGCCTGAAGTCCTTCGCAACGGACAAGGCCTTTAAGCAGGTGAAGAATTGGTCTGTCGACCACTTCCATGCCAAGGCTCACTCTGCTTCGTGCCCCTGCTCTCCCGTTCACGTGCGTCGACTTGATCTACGTCTTCGCTCTGTGAACTCTTCCATAGACACTTGGCTGAAACCTTCTCGTGTCCATCGATTACAACCTCCCGCACAGCACGCCACTCTGCCAAGGAGAATTGCTTGCGATGTCGCCAATCACGATAGACGTTAAGGAACTCGTTTCCCAATGGCTGCTCTACGAGAATCTTTAGCAACTGTTGACCAGATGGGGATGTCCACATCTGAGTGGCTTCCTTCAAGACCTGGTAGTAACGCTGTGCGATGGCATACTCGATATGCCACCGAGCGTGCTGGTCGCAGTCCTCCCACATGACCTCACCCTGAGCGAACATTATCGCGTTGTGACTCAACCCACCGCGGAATTGCAAGGCATTGTGGTAGTCAAGGAACTGTCGTGGGAAACCAAGTTTGCTATTCACGAAGATGTAACCCCATCTTGTCGAGGCCCAAGCTGTGGTACTTGTGACCTTCCACTTTCCTGTAATTATAGTGGTGGTGCACTCGACAGGTCTTCTTCGGACACTGCTTCATCATGGACACATCTTCCACACCACGAAGAGTGTATAGCAGCTACCTCGGACCTCTTGGTTGATGCCACCTTTGGTGCCACCAACTATGCCTAGTAGGATTGTTATGGCTGGCGGGCTACTCTTTCCCTTTCTCTTGGCTTCTCTTTGTTTCTTTTAAATTTTAAACGCAGCCGCTGTATTTCAGCCGCTCAAGCCTAAGTTCAAGAGACAACTTCTGGGCTTTACTCGCGGCGACCGGCTCGGAGACAAAGCACTTGCATATCTTTCCTCCGTCTGGCTTCTTCGAAGTCATACACTTGGCGATCTTGTCTTCTGGATTCTTTGAGGTGGTGGACTTGGCTATCTTCGCGTCGCACATTTCTTTGAGGTGGTACGTTTGGCGGGCCTATCATCTTGCTTGACCTTGAGCACTTTCTGTACCTTCGTGCGTGTCGACCCAGTACAGCGGCACCGATCCCTATACCCCCCTGCCCACATCGTCTCCGGGCCATCTGTGCAGGCAGTGTGGGACTGAACTGATGAGACTAACTACTCAAGAGCATGCGGAAACCTGCGCGCAGTGAGAATGATTGACGTATAACTCTGGGTTATGTTGGGCTAGGGTTTATGGCTGAAAGAGTTAGATACTGACCTGATGCTGCCGCAACACTAGATCTTCTTGAGATCGCGACCTGCAGTTCAAATCATCAGATATAGTTTTGTATGCTAATAGGAGGGTTTCGGATCGAGCCTGCCCGTAGTTCAGGCATTGCCGTAGCCCCAGTGCCTTTCATTAGGCACGACACGGCGGTGAGAAGCCCTACGTGGCACAGGGCGGCCCGCCGACGGCGCGCAAGAGCGCGCGCCCGCATACATCGCTGCCGATTGAACGGCAGCCCTCCTTGGTCTCGCGACCTACAGCTGCTCGCTTCCCACCACTCACAGCCTCGATTTGTGGAGTTGCGTATGGGAGGCGGCAGGAAGCGCCAGGGACAAGGATGGCAAGACCAAGGCCAACCCAAGGGGCAGAGCCGTGGCCAAGACGGACAAGGCGCGTACAACGACCGGCGTTACTGGCGAGGATCCTGGCCTTTGTCTCCGCGGTCACAGCGATCACAACAGTTCTCGGCGGAGACCCGATACGATCAGGTACCAGTTCCGGGACGCCGCAGCAGTGGTGGATCTGCTGGACAGGCTGGGAACCCCCAACCTGCGGAGGCAGCTCCGGAGGGCTCTGGAGAGGGATCCGAGTTCCGAAAAGAACTTCAAAGGCTGCTTACACAGGCCAAGCGCGCGGACGGCAAGATCTACAAGTTGCAGGACGATCGCGAACATCGTCGTCAGCAGTGGGAATACTACGAGCGTGGTATGAAGCTGGCGTTCTTGAAGCAACAACAGGCCTTCGAGGCAGACCTCAAACGTCTGGATGCGGAGATTCAGACTGCTGGCTCGACCGGACGCGAAGCTGCGGAGCGGATGCAGGCCCTGGCCTTGTATGGCATGCTTCCCAAGACGGAAGTGGATGCACCAGAGGAAGCGGCATGGGACAATATGATGGCCAATTGTGCTGTGGAACCGGAGAGACCGGCGTCTGGATTCTTGGCGGCCGCTATGGAAGCGGTCCGAGCTCTGGGCGCTACGGCCCACCACGCATCTGGTGTAGGAGGTGCTGCTGGCTTGCGAGGCCACAACCCTCCCCCCACTGTGCCGTTGGAGCCCACCACTTCTGCAGCTCCCGCACATGCAGGCCCTTCCACGACGACTTCGACACCCCTGGGAGCGGCATTTGGGCCACTTCCGGAGCCTCGTGCTCCATATGTGGCCTCCCCTGGAGCTGTCAAGGGGCCTTTGGCTCATTCGCCCGAGCCCTCTCCTGGTACCCGAGCCCGACAGCCACCAGGCTCCGGGAAGCACCGCCAAAGTCAAGCAGCGACCAGCTATGCCGGTTCCCCCGACCGGTGGCCTGTCCTTGGACCAGAAGTTGGAGCATCGACGAGCTATGGAACTTCTGGCCGCACAAGTGGGGCTGGAGCTTCCGAAGGGAGCGGCTGCAAGTGCGCTCGGCACTACCGGCCTTCCCCCGCAGCCCCCGGACACGGACATGATGGCCGCCGATACGACAGCGGAGCCGACCGTGACAAAGGATCGCACTACGGTGGACGTCTTCGATCTGTCCGACTCAGAGCCATCGCAGCACGCCACGGAGCGTTCTGCATCCCCGGGGCTGGGCAAGATGGGCTAACAGCTCATTTGGGCCCACCGAATCGGGCGGCAATGGAGCAATGTGCTGCTACCGTCGACGCATCGGTCGCTCTTGTAGGGCTATGGGGTCCGGTGCGGTTGGAGATCCAAGTGTGGCGGGCACACTTTGGATCTCGCCGGTACCAGTCACCCCCTGGCCGCTGCACCTCGATCGTATGCCTCGGCGTGGGCAACATCAATGGTTGTGAGCGCCTACGCAGTGAGTGGATAGCTTGTACAGATCGGTTGTGGCTTTGTATTATAATGCCTTTTCCGTCCCCGGTCCTGTGCCATCTGCATCAACTGCCTTCGGCCCCCTCTCCCGTTCAGGCGACCTTACCACATCCTTGGGCTATGGTTGTGGACTGGGTCAGCCTTCCTTTGGTCTTCTACGGGCCTTCTTCCTCGCCGGCCCTGCTACCCGGCCTACTTTTGGTTCGTACATGTCATGCCTATCTGAGGCAGCCTCCGGATGAGGCCTCTCGAACCTTCGGCCCTCTTCGGAGGGAAGTGTGCACCTTTGGGTTTTCCACGGGCATGTGTGCACGCAACCACGTTGAGTCCGCGACCTATGTTTTGAGCGGGGGCCTAAGAGAAGTATCGGTGGCTCAGGGACTTCCTCCCGCGATAGGTTCGACGGACTTTCTTGCTGTTATGCGTGATTCCGGTGTTGGTGAATGTGTGGGCGCCGGCCCCTTGGGCTCGCTTGCGGTCTTTATTTGGCTGTCTGCGTGCGTCGTTACCGTCTCCCTCCTGGGATTCTGGGAGCGCTTCTCTTTCGAGAAGTGGCCGTTTGATTGCCCTTGTCTCCCGCCACGTGACAGTCTGTCACGGCTTGACGCTGTATGTGGCATCGGATCTCTGTTGCTGTGGGCCCTGTTGCTTTTGGGATCTCAGTTGCCTGCTGCTGTGGAGCTGGTGCCTCTCCTTGTTGTACATGCAGCGGCGGCCCAGTTGAGTGTGCTTTGGATCCTTACGATGGGCTTGCTTTCGATGCTGGTGCACCCGCTCCTTGGGCGACACGTGCGGACGGGCCATCGCACTCGGTTCTCCCTACGTTCCGCCTCCGGCGTGCTCCTGTGTTTTAGTGTATGCCGTCCTGCCAGCAGTATGCCGAGAGCTTGTCCTCGCCCCAATAGCGCATGCCGGCACCCTAAGAGGGCGACACGGAGACACGGGATATGTTCACGCCTATGGCAACTTGGTGCTGGCCTTGGACCATTCGCCGGATATTCTGTACCCCATTTCAGCCCGGCGGCAATGCACTCGGCCTCCACGCTACCGTTGATTGTGCTCCTTGATGGCTTCACCTGCTCATCTGCCATGGCGCGTGCCGGAGTTCCGGAGGTCATCCCCCCCGCGCCTCGACGGCCGCATGAGATACCGGCGCAAGAGCTCGCCACCTACATAGGTACCTGCAACCCCAAAAGCGTTGTAAATTTTTGGCCTTTTGGGAAAGGTGCGTAAATTTCAGATTCCGGGCGAAAGGTGCGTATTTAGCGTAATTCTGCTGGAAGCTTGTCAAACGTGCTGTATCGCATCGGCCTGATGCCCCAGCTGCTTAGAAAGGTATGTTCTGTATGCATAATTACTTACTTTTCTCACCGAAAGAGTACCATATCATGCTAGTCTTCATCAGCATAGAGATCGTGGTTGTCGCCAATTCAAACATGATACAGTGTATATCTAGCTCGGAGTTCATGGCGCCCGGGTGGTGAGCCCTTGGAACGTGCTACCGGCCGGTTTGTGTTGCAATACAGTAGGTGGAAATAAAGTCCTGGGAAATGCGATTGTATGGCAGGGTGGGGAAGTGGTGCACGAGCTGCCGAGTGGTTTTTGAGTCGCGACAGGTGACCTTGGCGACACTTACAGTTGTCATGTATACTGTGTATATCAGTCGGGGATGCCGTATATTTCAGGTCCTCTGCTGCGGAAGCTGAACACCCAGTTGTGGAACCTTCACCACGTATGTGCGCCGCCTAGATTTGGAATTGCACAAGGGGGAAGTTGGGGGGAAAAGATGCCCTTTGCAGGCCACAGACGATCGAGGATATGGAGCCAGGCTATTCCGGGATAGTGTTCAGCATTCAGTTTGTCGGGTGTCATGTGTCAGGTCACAGATTGCTTGCAGAAGCTGAGAGTGATGAGTGAGCCCTCGGAATGTGCACCCGGCTAAATTCCCTTTGATATGTGGCTTCCCGACAATAGTGGGGTTAGCCTTTCCTATGCCAGGCCGAACCCTCGCCAGACTCCCTGGGCCAGAAACGAGGCTCATATGGGCATGTTTATTCGAAGCCTTCAGTTCGTGATTGGTCCGTGCTGCAATTGCATGAGCTCACGCATAATCTTCTCAGGATTTTCCTTCTCGAGGATTCGCTGGCTTAGCATAGGCTTAAGGGCGATCATGGCTGCTGCGGGCAGCGGTTTCGATGCGCGAAGCTTCGAATGGATGGCACAGCTGCCGACCTTGTGGGAGAGTGTTCGTGCTTTTCGCGAACGCAGCCTTCGTGGTATGAACCTGCTTCGGGGGATTACTTTGAAAGGGCACGGTTCCAGCCCAGTGGTCGTGGGTAATATGGAATGCTGCAAGTTGAATTCTGATGTGCTAGCTTCAATCCTCAAGGTCATGGCCGATGAGGCTTGCATCTTTGTTCCGAAGGTGTACTTGTTACAGGGAGCCTGCTTGGAATTCCACTGTCATGCCGGCTATCCAGATGCCCTTTCCTTGGGTCATGCTGCTTATTCAGATGGCTGGGGTTTGAAGCGTCAGCTGAATTTCCTCAAGCGCAAGTGGATGCGCAAACAGACGCCTCGAGTGTCTCGATTGGAGCTTTAAAAGGTTTCTTTTGGAAGCTCAAGATTGACCGATGTATTTTTCAGGGGGCCAGAATTGTACATTCTTTGCATGTGTGCATCAGGACAGGGTCCTGCGCAAGCTCGTCGCCGAGTTTGAGCGGGCCTACAAGAAGTTGAAGCAGGTGGCTGGACCTTGCTTCATGCTTATATCGATCTGTGTTTCAGCATGACCTTAAATTGCCAATTGAGGTTGTTGGTGACCGCATCGCGAGAGCTCTCAGAGCTCGAGGGGATGATGACGATGATGACGTGGATCCCGAGCAAGATGTGGACTCGGATCGGCCCAGGGATGCTGAAGATCCGGATTTCCACGATAATAAGGCTGAGGCTTCTACCACTGAAGAGATTGAGCCAGGAACTATCTCGATTGGTGTAGAGTTGCCTGAAACGGCCCCGCCAAATCCGAGGCCAGAGGAAGCAGCTCCTGTGAACCGTGACCCCCCGCATCACGAGGAGGCAGCTCCTGTGAACCGTGACCCCCCGCATCAGGATGAGGCAGCTCCTTTGAGCCGTGACCCCCCGCATCAGGAGGAGGCAGCTCCTGTGCCGCCCGAGGTGCCCAGCAGGCAGTGCTTGGAGGAGCAATTGCGCATCATGGAGCTAAAGCTAGAGGCGAAGCGACTGCAGCTTGCTAGCACTTGTATTGTGGTTTACACTATTCTTCCGTTTCCTTTTCGAATGATATGCATGCATGCATGTATACTTCGTACATAAGGATGGACATCGAGCGCAAGCGTGCTGCCAAAGACTTTGCAAAGAAGCTTCCCAAAGGATCGCAATGTGTTTGTGACTGTCTGTGTGATAATATATCGAACAGTGTGGGTTCCATCTTCTCTGCCAGGACCAATCGTGCTGGATTCCGATGAGGAGGCTGAGGTTCCTGCTATATCGGTGCCTAGCAAGACTGGTGCCGATGAGGGTTCTATGAGATCAGGAGCAGTGGATCAGATGGAGACCCAGGCATTCGACTTGTCGACTCAGGTCGTAATGAATGCTCTGTCAGGGCTGGATCAGCCGGTTCCATCCCCGGCACGGACGTTTGCGGAGGAGAAGACACGGGAGCTTGGAGATGTTAGGTCGCCCGAGGCAGCTGCATCAGCACATGTTTGTGAGGAAACCCCGAGCCCCAGAGGGATCAAGCCTGTTGAGATCACACCTGTGAAAACCTATCCGTCACGTGATTCGCAGCTCATGGTGAAAAGCACAAAAGCAACCGAGAAGGCGGAAGCCAAGGAAGCTAAGGCTGGCAAAGCTGCCGGCCGAGGCCGAGGCAGGGGTGGCCGGGGAAAAGGAGGAGGACGGAAGAAGCCCCAACAGGCAGAGGAGGATCAGGAGGATCCCGAGGAGGCTCCCGAAGAGCCTGCAACGACAGGCCGTGGTGCGCGAAATCGTGGCCGAGGCAAGGGCCGGGGACGAGGTCGCGGGAAGAAGGTGCACCAGGCGGAGCATACGAGCGAGCATGCGGGCGAGCATCAGGGCGAGGATCAGGGCGAGGATCAGGGCGAGGATGCCGGCGAGCCCGAAGAGGCTGCTGATGTTGCGCCCCCGAAAAAGCGCCGATGCAAGAAGGTCGTGGATGTGCCTACCACCAGGGTGACGGGCAAGCGGGGGTCAGAGGGCAGTGCCAAGCCCAAGAAGGCTGCGAAGAGGGCTTCGAATACTGAGGATGCTGAGTGGCCTCTCACGTTCGCTCGTCGCTACCGACCCAATTCCGAGAATTGGACCCAGCGGCTTTGGGAAGGATGTGTGTTGGCTTTCAAGTCTGTGCTCCTTCCGCACATTGTTGTGGGGCAAGCCTCGGCTCTTCAGGCCGGATTGTCTTTTGGGGTGCATGGCCAGGGTATGTAGTGTAAAAGCTAAGAAATGTCTACGATGCATGGGTTCTTAATCCTGACCGCTGCTATCCTGTGTGGTCTCGAACCTCTGTAACAAAGCTACCCCATTCTCCGAATCCTAAATGCATCCTTTTGAAAACCCCGCAGTAGCAGCATGCAGATACTAAACCACATTCAGATTCGAAGCTTCGTGTGATCATGTAGGCTAAACAAACGTCTTGGCTAGGTAGATAAGGTAGTATATAGGATAAACCGATATACCCAATCAACTCAAATTCAGAAATCCCTGCTCAGTCCGACTTCTATGACTTCGCAAAGCAGCATGCCCAGCAGTCCGACGATGATTTGTCTTCGAAGGTTTCCATGTACAAATGCTGCACTATGGCAGCGACTCGCTTTCTTGATACGATGGACCAGGCCTGAGCTGGACTGCCTATACCTGTATGAATTCTTGATCTATGCTCCTATGCCAGCATCTATAGCTCTATATATCTAAATTAAATTATACGTTCTAAAGAAGTTGTCTATGCTGGGTTCATGCAGCTCCAGCCAGCCGCCAGCATCCACAGTGGATGATCGTGAAACGGAGCCGGTTGGGGCATTTGCCTTCTGGCCGAATGATTTCGCTACCGAGGAATGAGCTAAAGGCTCATGCAGTGGGGTGGGGTGCTTCCTCCCAGCGGTACATACTGTCAGAGAGCAAGCTGGCTTCTCTCACGATGCGCTAATTCTCACGTGCAGGCTGTGTTGTCTCCGTTGCGAGGCTCGATCACGGCTACTCTTGTGTGCTGAAAAAACCGAAGCCTTCTGTGTGTGCATGCGCCTGTGTGTGCATGACATGTCTGCTTTAGCCTGACAAGGGTTCGATCTATATACGGTCTAATCATGCACTCCGTGTGGCCAGGTTCGAAATGCTCTTCGGCAAAAAGGCCCTCGGATCCGCTTGGTCTGCGCAGCTGCTGCAGGGCCGAAGTCGAGTCTGCCTAGCCAAGTTGTTGCTGATTTTGCACTTTCTGCTTAGTTCATGCTTCGGTCGCTTGCTTGACCCTCTGACAGTTCCTGCAGTCTCAGCCATGAAACATAGTGTGGAACTTTTCCTGGCAGGTGCCCGCAGACATACACATGGGCACACGCACACACATATGTGCTTTCGGATGTCTAGTACGACAGTCTCACCTGTGATGTGCCATCTTGCATCCTTACTGCAATCGTGCATGGAGTTTTAATTGCCTGTTGCTGCAAAACCGTCGGTGGAGCCTCTGCTCCCATGCCGAAGCCCAAATTCGAAGATGTCGCCATCAGCCTGATTCGCCTTGGATCCCCCAAGGTGCTTGGGCAGGAAAATTCAGTTTCCAGGAGGGTTTGTAAAGTTTTACCTAGTGGGATCCTATATAATGTCGTTGTATCCTGGTTGTGGTTTTACGAATACTTTTGTGGCATTCAATCATGCAAAGGTTTCAGATTTCACTTTTGTTCGCCCGAGATTGATCCTTCAGCCCAAAAGAAGACTAAAAATCCGAGCAAGACCCGAGCAAGGTTTCATCGTGTACGATATTGCAGGCTTGAACGAACATACTAGTCGCAATCACAATGAAACCGTACAATCGTTTCTATTACTACACTCACAAAGCATTTGGAAGCTTGGGTCTCTGTGGCTCAGGTATTCGTCCTTTGCATCCTGTTGCTGCTTTGGAACACCTCCATCGACTATGCCAAGGACTTCAGGTATATTGTGGTATTCCGGGATGTTTGCTAGATAAGAGGGGTCTGTGGAGAAGGCTCGGGTTGATGGGCTCGAGGGGGCTTGGGGTGAGGGTCTTAGGTGCAAAGCGGGGATTTATATAGGTCACGATCATTTCTGGAGTCTCCAAGCAAGCTTTCGCTTTGTGGGTTTCGTGGGTTTAGGGTAAGGATAGGAGCCTTCGGTTGTTTGCCAGATCAAGGGGCCCTCTGAGGAAGCTTCGGCCTTCGGGTCAATGTGTTTTGGATATAACTTAAGGGGCCCTATAATATTATAGGTTTATGGGAGATTGAAGGCTCGGGGGGTTTGGGCATCTCTCTTGCAACAGAAGCACATATACTCTTCCATTGAGAAAATATTCAATGCCAATATGATGTTGCAAACCCAAAGCCAGCTCTGACCAGCAAGCCTCAATCAGGAATTACCCCGCGACCTCCTCAAGAAATCAGACGAATTCCAAGCAATCACCCCAGTAGCTGTGTGAGGAGGTGGACTTAGCCGAGCTGTTCTCTGGTTCGGCGACTCTTTCCAAAGAGTTCTACTATCAAGGCAAGGAGGTCGCAAGCTGTGATGTGAAGTATGGCCGGAACATGGACATTTGCCGATCTTCAGGCTTCGGGTTACTTGATATTCAATTGGACATGGTCTCATGTAGTTCGGTTCTAATGGTTGCTTTTTTACAAGATGTCGGAACCGAGGACGTTTTGTGCAGCAGTTCTGTGTGGTCGCCAGAATTCTTGTGTCTGGCTGGGAGTCCTTTGCAGCTCATGGGTGTCAATGGCCCGCCCAACAACCAAGAGATCCTTTGCCAATCCTGAAGGTTACACTGGCTACAAGAATGTAGTTTACTCCAACATCATGGCTGCAAGGCCGGGGTTGTTCAGGTTTGCTCGGTTGTGCTAGCTTGATGAGTGCATGTAGCTAAAAGAAACATATATAGATTCCGGGGCACCAGATGTCCAGGTCAGCACTTTTGTGCTTGCTGGCGGCAGCGCTGGGCCAGTGGTGGATTGTGGAGCAGCCTCGGACATCTCTGCTCTTGCAGAGCGAGCGCTTCTTGTGGCTTAAGAAGAAATTACAGGTGCCTTGGGTTTCATTGGGGGTTTGGAGGCTTAATTTAAGTCCGAAAACCCTAAACGTCTAAATGCTTGAAATATACCTTGTATGGTTTATAAACACCAGGGATAAAGTGCATGATGGAACTATAATAAATGTATATATGATCTTTATATATAATCTTTTTACACTTCATCCCTGGTGTCAAAAACCTAAATAATATTATTGATGTGGATGATCCTGTGCTTCTTGAAAATACGTCGTACATCCCGGAAAGCCAAAAGTCCCAAAAGCCTCAATCAAATCTTGCTCTTGTAAATCAAGCCTTACCAACCCTACAAGGGCTGCTCTGGTGTCTCAACGGGTTTTCGGAGAATGGTTGTTTATTCGAAAACCCTATGAATCCCGGAAACCTGACAGTGCCAAAGTTTCTAATCGAAATCCTGAAAGATCTTGATCCCTATTAAACCTGAAGACCCTGAACTCTTGTAATAGTGTGAAAAGACTTAAATCCCAACTTCCCAAACCCTTGCTCTCGAAGCAACTGGGACTTTGTATACCGTCTTACTTCTGGGTTGTCTTCGTGTTCCAAATTAGCCCTGTGCTTCCTTCGACATTCTGTGTCGTCCGTAGCAGGATTCAGGCCAGCTTCAAGATGTGCTTTAGGTTGACAGGGGTTTCCGGGCTTTGTTGGGCAAAGGGTTTCGGATCCTGTTTGCAACGTGTATGCAGGGTCTCCTGAGGTTATATATATGTAATATATATATATATATATATATATATATATATATATTACATTTATATAACCTCAGGAGACCCTGCATACACGTTGCTATATATATATATATTAATATTAAATATATATATATATATATATATATATATTATATATTATATAATATTTATATAGGGTACCACAATACACATCTAAAATCATGAAATCATTTTTACATAAATACTATATATATACAATATTGACGTAGAGAATACTATCGACGGAAGTATGATGTAACCTTGCACTATAATTAATATGTGGGGTCTCGAGATTGTATGTCTTCGAAATGCCAGGAATTCTAGAAGCCGCCCAAAACCGTTGGAAATCTATGTAACTTAAATAAGCCCCGAAGCTAATTTTAAAAACTATACACCGCCGAACCCAGACCATAAGAACTATAATCCTCCGCCCCAGCTTTATATAACTTCTGCAGCCAAGGTTTATCAGCTGGATTTGTGGATGGCCGCATACGGGGCGAAGACGCCCAAGCGCACCAGCCTCTGGAGTAACTCACGGGTCATCAGTGGGTTTTTTACGAGCAGGAAGATTCAGAGGGCCGGGAGAGATTCTGGCTTCAAGACCACAAAGCGCTATGTGGGCCACAACGGCAAAAAACGCTTCCAGGGGAATAAGAACTTGACAAGCACCGGGATCCTTGGCTGTTTTGTGTAGATGTCGGCACAGGTGTCTCGATTGATCCGGTTTCGACAATAGTAACAACACTCTTCCTTAGCCGAGGATGTATACTCGGCAGTTCGCAAGCCGAGCCTTCGAGGTGATGCAGCTGGGGGAGAGTGCTCTTTCCAAGTCTGAGTACCCCCTACGAGAGAGTCGGCCGGGAGAAGCCATGGAATTGTTTCGAAATATGGATTATGATGATAGATGTGAGGATGCTGATCTAGTGACGGTTGTACACTATTTGAGGGGCTGTCGTTCCTTGGAGATTCCTGAGGATTGGCGGGCAGTTCTTCCTAAGAGATTGTAGTGATGCGACCGACTGCTGTGCACTCATACAAGCGATCGATGACAAAGTCTGCATTGCTCACACTCCTGTGCTAGAAGGATGCAATTCGTGGCATTGCTGGCATATGTGCTAAATTCTGCCATTGTGTCTCTAGCTGCATATCAGTTTAGTAGAGAGCCAACTTGTCGAAGATGGAGGATGGAATCCCTTGGGCCAGGGAGGTTCTTCGCCACCTTGAGGCCTACCCCGCTGAGGTGCAGCGAGATTTTGTGGTTGGGTCCCTGGAAAGTATTCGCAATGGCATGCAACATCTGCTGAGTGTGCTTCCCTTGTACTCCGAAGCTGCAATTTCATCGGCATCATTGCTGGCTGCAGTGCTCACTACAGTTCGCTTTCGTGTTGAGGAGGGTGTGGGGAATGATGCAACGGAACTCGAGTTGATTCCGATGGGGCTCCCTTCCTATCCCGAGGAACGGTATCAATCTATGGTGGCTAGAATCGAGCTTCGTGATCCTCGCATGATCAAACGGGAGCTGACCCAAGCGCTCAAGGCTTGGGACGAATGCAGCACAATTATTTGGTGCCCGGCAATTAGCCTCTGCCATTGGCACATGTCACTGCTGGTGATTGCAATGAAAGATGCTTTAGCTATCGCAGACCTACTGCTATGATGCATATTATGATAGGCTCCGATTAGCAGTGCTTCGCCGGGACGGGTGAAATTTACTGCATTCAGAAAAAGCAAAACCTGCGGCCCCACTTGCTGTGCGATCTAAGGTCGAGCTTTGGGCTTTTGAGGGCTTTTGTGGGCTTTGTAGGAGGGTCGGGCCCGAGTTTTGTCCAGGTTCCGTGGCATTATGGTGGTCGTGGTCTTCTTTCTGCTACGTTTCAATAACTTTTGGGTTTTCAGAGCATAAAACCAGCCAAAAGACCATAAATCTATGCAACTGCTCGGTTGTCTATTTAGACCCCAAAACCCGTAAAAGACCATATTTATCGTAGACAGGTAGCCCCAGGAGGACGAAAAGACCATAAATTTCAGGACAGGCCGCCGGCAGGACCCTAAAAGACCATAATTTAGCGAAGCAAACCGTAGGCCAGGACAGGGAAAAGACCATAAATTACCGTAATTCCAGCCAAAGCCCCGAAAGGCCATAAAAAAACAGCCCAAAAGACCATAATTTTCCAGAAAGCCCACGCGCTAAGGGACATAAATAAGCGTAGAAAAAGCGTAAAAAAACCGTAGAAAGGCCATAAAAAAGCGTAAAAAAAAACCGTAATCCTGCACCAAGCAGCAGCACCCACGAAGCCACCGAAGGAAGCAATCAGCACCGGAGACTGGGCCCAAGTGCAGGGGGATGTGCGAGGCACGAACCCTTTTGAGTAAGGCTTGGTCTGGGGGCTCTTTAGCAGCTGCCTCTCGGAACATGTTCCACGCCTTTATCAAGCAAGAACAGAGCCTTCCTGACGATGAGCATCAGCTCCGACTTCGAGTGGAGGACAGCATCGGTCGATGAAGTATATGCACATGCACACAATCCTCGCTTCGTCCCGCATAACCATACCATGCATGTGTCATTGCTGCTGTGTAGGAACTGCGAAAGCAGCTTGGTATGAGTGCTGCGAACAAGCCGATCAAGTCGGTGCCCGGCCTAAACATGAGATTCTGCATTTCTCTAACTTCTGGCTCCTGCTGTGACCACATAAGGAGCCTTGCCCAGCAGACACGTTGCAGGATACACAGGTGGAGGCCTGTCTATATCTATCTGACCCGAGAATGTGCAATACTACTTCGAATATATATTCTCTCTCTCTCTCTCTCTCTCTCTCTCTCTCTCTCTCTCTCTCTCTCTCTCTCTCTCTCTCTCTCCTACAGTCATCAAATCTCATTGGACAGGCCACGGGGAATTCTTCTACCGAGGCTACCGTGTGTTCCTCAGCTACGGCTCCCCCTAAGTATAAGAACCCGAAAACCTTTTAGTGCATGTGCCCGCACAGCTGAAGACCATAGGGACTATATGGGCTTCATTGTTCATTAAAATCGATTATAAAACGCATTGTATACAATGCATTTTATAATCGATCTTAATAAACAATGAAGCCCATATAACCGATTCCGAGGCCCCGGAAAGCTCCTCGATCCAGAAGGAGCCCCAAACGAACGACAGCCAGGATAGCTTGCAGCTGAGTTTGTGTCGGCTGGTGCTGCTTTATGCCTCTTTGTGCAGGTCCCGCCATCCCCAGCAACCCATGCTATCGCGAGCCCCTCAATTCTTATGTGTGCATCCCCTGTGATTCACTGTAGTTAGAACTCCGATCCCTCCCCCCCCCAAACAACTCTCTCCCTAAGGTTCCTGTGTCTTCGCCACAAGCCGCCGAGTCGCCAACGGCAGCTGCCGAGAACAAGAATGGTCCAGAGGCTTGATCCTTAGATTTGTGCATCGGTCTATGACACCACCCCGGTTAGCAGCCGAAGATATCGTATAGTAATCATCCAGAGATTGTGATGCCTCTCTCTGTTGCATGATTTTTCTCCGTGTCTCTGCAGGCTGGGAAGGCTTCCATGGCTGAAGCTGTTGTCTGGCCCTCAATATCAGTCTGAAGATCTGTGTGAGTATACCGAGTTCCAAGACAACATGCAGAACTCCCGAAGCCCACAACCCGAAAACTGAGCGCACGGAAGCCCACTCATGTTCCAAAAGGGTTTCCGGGTTTCGGGCTTGGGGTTATAAAGGTTTAAGATTTATACATCGGTTTAAGTTTTAGGGTTTTCGGGATAAGGGTTTCGGGTTAAGGGTCGTGTGTTTAAGGTTTATATATATAAGTTTATATAGGGCTTTCGGGTTTCGAGTGTGGGGTTTATAGCTATATAGGGTTTACAATTAACAATTCCCGCCCAGGCTCCTACGATCCAGGAGAAGCCCCAAGTGAACGACAGCCAGGACCCTCATGCCGACTCTCCCTCTCTCCTCTTCTGCCCTTCTCTCCACCCCTCTCTCTCTCTCTCTCTCTCTCTCTCTCTCTCTCTCTCTCTCTCTCTCTCTCTCTCTATCTCTCTCTCACCCTTTCTCCCTCTCTTCCTCCCTCCCTCCCTCTTTCGAAGGGGTAGGAGCATATTCCAGTAGCACCCTTCTCTCTCTCTCTCTCTCTCTCTCTCTCTGTCTGTCTCTCTTTCTCTCTCTCCCACTCTCTCCCTCTGTCTTTGTCCCTGTGTGTGCAGCAGGTCCCCGCATCTGCCAAGCCGCTCCAGGTGCAATCCCAGGCGACCGGGATCTTGGGTCTTCCATAGTTAAGAGCTTCCCTACATTGTAGCTGGACTCTAGTGCAGAGTTCCTGACTTCGGCTAGATTGGCAGCATGATTTGTTAATGGGGGTAGAGGCCGTCTGGCTCTGCATGAATCGCTATTGAGTATTCATCATAGTACTCTAGTATATATATATATATATATATGCTATCTAGAAGCCTATATAGCGGCTTGTCTGTTTTGCTCGTCACGACCAGAAGACAGAAGAACGTCTCCACAACCAAAACGAACCCTAGAATTGTAAGTGCGACTCTTGACTTCAATTGTGGCCCTGCAGTATAGATCTTAAGGCCCGCCCAACAATATTATAGAGTCCGAAAAGAGCTCACTACACTTTCGGAATTTATTTATTATAATGAAACCGAAGAAAGACCCATATCTCGCAGAGGCTGCCGTGCCACCAGAGCTGATGTATGCGCCGAGCACGCCGAGCTCTCGAAAACCTGAGCAGATCCAGGCCAAGGGGTGGCTACTTATGACAGGCATTGTCGTTGTCGACCCCGTTTGCAGGAGTTACCTGGTGGGGGTCGTGTCGAAGACATGCCAGCCCCCCAAACGGCTCAATTCTCAGTTCAATGATTTCTTTGGAAAGTATTCTAAAGCTCTGCTGAGTAGCTTCTTAAGGCCCGGGAGAAGCAACTCTATGAGATCATTGCGCATTTGCAGCGAACCCAGCCGGGAACACCAAGCATATTTGCCCCGGAGTCTGTTTGCAGCAGTGCATCGTGGCGGCATAAAACCCGAAAGCCCTGAATCCAATTCCTGCTTCACCATCACAAAGCCTACAGTGTCAAGGTTGCCAAAGCCCACCCTGTCCGAAAGAATTCCGTGACCTCCGCTACAAGCCAGCTGACCTCGACGACCGATGCCGAGCCCGGCAAGGACGATGTGAAAGCTGCCCGCCCATCCTTGGAAGCTGCGATACCCGAAGGTTCCGAGGCTCCTACTCCGGCGGGCGAGATGGATTTGGAGGAAGAAGAGGATGAGTCGCCGGAGTACCGGCGGCTCTATGCCAGGATGGAGGCCAAGATCCGCCGAATGTGTACTCCGAGCAATGTGTCGGGACGCACCACGGCGAGTCCAGATCTGATCCGAGATTGGAAAGAAAAGGGGTATAAACGTGTGCAGCTCGTGAAGCTGATGATGGAGGCCGCCGGAAACAAGGCTTGGCAGAGACAGGGAGAGAGAGATAGAGAGAGAGAGACGGAGAGAGGGAAAGAGAGAAAGAGAGAGAGAGGAAGAGACAGTGACAGGGAGAGGGAGAGAGAGAGAGAGAAGAAAGAATAAAAAGAGACCGTGAGAGAGAGAGAGAGAGAGAGAGCGAGTGAGTGAGTGAGTCAGAGTGTGTGAGAGAGAAGGAGAGAGAGAGTGTCAGAGGGTGTAGAAAAGAAACATGATGGACCCAGAAATGACAGGCCGAGTTTCAGCAGAAGGTGGAATCCTGGAGAAAGACGGAGATGTTCAGGAAGGTGAGAACCAAGGGTGGATGGTACAGCGAGGCAGACATGAAAAAGCCTGTCTCCGAAGGAGGCTTGGCTTTCAGTGTGTGTCCCGGAAGCAATCAAATCCTTGTACTACCTGCTACACTAGGAACCTTATTTAAGATCATCACTAAAAGCCCCTTGCCGAGGAAGAAGGTTCAGAAGGTGAAGGAGTTCTGCGAGAAGCACGGCTTCGTACGGTGCCACGATTGCAGCGGGTGCGATTAGTTTCTGTGGGCAAAGAACACAACGTGTGTGTGCTATATGTATGTAAGTAAACAAATGTGTCTGTGTGTGTGGATATGCACATGCATGTGTAGTATGTCATGCATGTATATGCGGTACACATACAAGATATATAGTGGGGCTACACATGTGTACTGCTGCTTGGGCGGCTGCCTTTCATGTAGCACAGTCGGCTTGCATAAAAAATCACAAGTTCGGGGATCAAGCTTCTATTGAAGATTTCGTTGCTCCCAGATCCCCGATAATCCTATATAACCTAGGAAGAACCAGTACGACGAGGATGAGACGGAGTACTGGGTGGACTTCAGAACTGAAGGTTCTCGTGGGACCAACGAGACTGACGGCTTGCTGGAGTCTCGGAGCGCGGACGTCACCGGGGCTGACGGCCTCATGAGTTCTGGGTTGGACGAAGCTCCAATGCCGGAGCTTCCTATGGGTGGGGCACATGCGCCAGGGATGCGGAATGAGAAGGAGCAGGACAGCTCCAATACACTGATCGAGAGGTTTATCTAGAGTCTTAAATAAATATATATAGATATATCTATCTTCTTATCCTACTTTTCTACAGGAGGCTGCTGGTGTCGCAAAGCTGATGGATGAGGCCCTGGGAACCCGCAAGAACCTGGACAAGCTTGTTCTCAAGACGAAGAAAGACAAAGGAGATGCATCGAATCCTCGTACTGCATTTGTGCAAACCAAGATTCAAGAAACCACCAGCTCAATCCCCAGCAGTGTGCAGCAGCTCAGGGACATCAGCGGCATGGAGGATTGCATCGCCAAACTTGGCTCGCTGTATGACGACTTGGCGGGGCTCCAGGCAGAGGTCAAGGTTAATGGTATGAGCCCGACGTTTCTTTACTGCACTGGGGACTTCTATCCTGTCTTCGGCACAACCAAAGTCTCCAAATGTTAATTGCTTTTCTTGGCTTTGCAAGGCTTCAACAGCAACTTGACGAGAAGTCCAAGGCCGTGAAGCGCCAGTGCATGTCTTAACTGATCAGAGATTCCCGCAGTTACTGTAGATGAAACCTAAAGTACGTGAGCTTGGAATATGCCCAGGTGTGTTCTGGCAGTGTCTTGCGAGCTCAAGAACAAATCGCCAGGCTCTAAGCTAGGGTTTGGTGGGGGTTTGTCGATATTGAGGGTTCATTCTCAGTTTCGGGATTTGCTTGTGTTCGAGATGATAGAACAGAGGATGCTTCAAAGTGTCTGCCTACTGTCTTCGGGGTTGGGGAGTTCCAATAGCCTAGACCCAAGTCTTTGGAAACCCTGTGATCCAACCACAGAATCCCAATTAGCCAAAATAGATCTTGCTTTGTCAGTATAGATAAAATTTAATACCCTGACTAAGCTTCCGATGTGCCGCCTTTCCGGATATCTTAGTTCCCAAAGGTTACAAAGCCATTAACCTATGCAACCATAATCCCAAACCCTCCAAAATCCTGATAACACGCCTTAGCCACGATATCTTTTAAACTGCCTGACAACAATTAAATGGTTCCCACTATCTGTATAGAACCTTTTGAGATTCCCCGTGTACACTGATAAATTATGGCCTACATGAGTCTTAATACAAATTCCAGATCACTCAACTGCAGTATCTCGAAGGTCTTAGGGGGAGAATGCTCTAGACAGGCGACACAATCCAAATGAAATTTCCTAATCATTCAAAGAGAGCCCTCGAAAGTCTTACTATATACAACCAATCCCAAACCTCAGGTGCCCTATCTTTGAAAAGCACGGATGATATCATGCAAGTATATAGATCCCGACAAACCCCGCTAGATAGATGATAATTCCCCAGAAATCCTAGACCATGCTAATGCCCAGGTCTCTGAAGAGGAAGGAGAGTTCCGCAGCGCTGGCGGGCGACGAGGGAAAGGCACCTAAGAAGCCCAAGCAGAAGGCCAAAGCCAAGGCTAAGTCGAAAGCTAAAGCCTGATGCTGATAGTTTTGCTCAGCCGATCGATGCAGATTGAGCTCATTTCAAGAGCAGTGTGAAGGGAATCACACTGGCAAGCCATTTCCAATGTGGCCACGTTCCCAAGAATCTGCGATTACTAGCTGCTGTGCCTGTCTGTGCGGCGAAAAAGTATAACACCTCTGTGCCATGCAGTTGATATCCGGAGCAACTAGATTTCAATTGCAGATGAGCTTGCTATTGCTCACGCCGATCACTAACGAACTCCATCATTTGTCCCGATCATGCCAGGTCTGCAGGTTCTGCAAGAGGCCAGCAACAAGGCCTGCGACTATGTCCGCAGCTATGGCAAAGGGGCTGGGGTCTTAGATTTGCTTTTCATGCATCGAGATCTGAAGTGAGGCTTCCTTATATGCGGTTGCTTCCATCAACAGATAAACAGTGATGGCCGCTGAGTCTCTAAAGCAGGATTCCAGAGCCTTCTCAAAGCCTTGAACGAACCTGAAAACCCAACCGATTTTGGCAATAAGACACATTCTACGACCCCGATGGATAAGTTCCAGCCCAAGGCCTCCATAATCCTGTTAACCCTTGTAATGCCCTTACCAAACATGATCCCGAGAACCCTCCCAAAGTTTGCTGCCCAGGTTCCGGCGAAGGACATAGTGGCACGTGCGGTGGCCTCCAGAAAAGATGGGGATTTCTTGTGCAATACAGCTGAGAAACTGTCTCGGGTACCCAAGGGTCACGAGGAAGATGGAGTTTTCAAATCTTTGAATAGCACTGGGATGTTGGTGAATATTCCGTATACTTACTTGGATCTTGGTGCTAGCCTGGAGCAACATCCAGCCTTCCGACCCAGAGATTTCCTATCTACTCTTTGTGACCTGGACAAATTCTCCACAGTGATTGGTATGCCTCTAGAGTCTGCAACTGTGCAATTGGAAGACTACTGGACCCACTTCTGCAATCAGTATCGTGAGCATCCGATTGTCAACGACATCAAAACTGGTGTGGTGGATCCCGGTCATCTAGTTCCCTTGAATGTGCACGGCGACGGGGGCCGGACTTACAAACGACAGGAATTGATGGTACTACAGTGGCAATCGGCCGTCGGTGCCGGCACATCGAAGAGCTCCAAGCGCCGAAAATTGGCTGATGAGATTGATGCCGTGCAAATTAATCTGAAAGGCCATAGCTTGTCGACAAGGTATCTTATCAGTGTCCTGCACAAGAAACATTATAGAGAAGATGCCACTCCCTTGTTGCAGCTCCTAGAATTTGTTTCCGAATGGTTTGGGGACTTGTACGAGATTCTTGGATTTCTTCAGAACCAGCTTCGTAGATTGTTAAGATAGCAATACTTATTGTTCCCACCGAAGAATTTGGAAAGTCCCAACCCCAACTCAATCCTATAAGCCCCATGCAACCCTAAGAACCAATATAAGACTTAATTCTAATTTTACGATTACTAGAGCAAAAAAAATATTGTACAACAACAACCCAGGAATGGATTCGAGTACCAGGGCCAAACGTGGAGATTTATTCTGGTTGGGATGAAAGGTGACTTGGTGTTTCATGCGAAAGCAGCCGGATTGCTACGGTCCTTCACACGAGTTCGAAAAAGAGCTCCGAACTCAAACTCCAAAGACCTGCCGGGGTGCTGCCCCTGGTGCCTCGCCGGTACCCCTACGATTGCTTTCGAGTGTTTTGATAAAACTGCCCCTTGGATGGCAACCACGGGGACCAGGAATCCACTACCCTGGATTGAGAAGCCTACGATCTTGAAAGCAATCCTGCACAGCCCGGACGAGCCTTCCTTCCTGAAGCCGGATGTTTTTCACATTCTGAATATGGGGATCTACAAAGAGTTTGCTGCGAGTGGCCTATGCATGCTTCTCCCTTTATTCGCTGGAAATAATCAGGATGAAAATATGAGCCGCATGAATGTGAAGCTGCGGCAGTATGTCAAGGAGCAGAATGCCAAGATTCACA